TATTTTAATGACCCACCGTCCCCCTCCCCCTCTCGTAAACCTTTATCAGTAATACCTCAATAAAGGTTCTACTGTAAGGCATAAATAATAATTAGTTTAAATGCTAGAGAAAAATATGTTTGCGCTGTTACAACATTATTTGCTTGTTTTAACTTTATGTAATAAAAATATATAAAAATTTTCCTTTCGAATGACTACCTTATTCCTTCAGTGAAGTTTTTATTGAGTTCTTTAATTTTTGTTCCTGAATTATAATCATTAGATCATTTTCTGCTGATTTTTTATCTAATACGTTTTAACTTGTATTTGTTGTACTGCTTGTGTCTGTACCCTTATATTTCTTAATTTTTTATTAATTTATGTTGTTAATTTAGGCAACTAAACTAAACTGGTGAATGGTTATTGGGCAGCACAACTCAAAATATCAATGCATTCTAAAAGCAGTTGAAAAATCCAAACCGTGAAAGAACAAAGTTATTTTATTTTTTTTTAACTTTTTACATTGATTTTTTATTCAAGATGAAAAAGTTGGAAAACTCTTTTATTTATTTTTCTTGTCAAATAATACAATTTTGAAATATTTAGGTTGCACAGAAATTTATTTTTTCCTTTACTTATTTATTTTGAGAAAAATTAGTTCGTTTGGGTTGAATTAAATTTTGAGCTTATATTGTTTTAACCGCCCTGTACTACGTAACTATGCAGGTTGATTTTCCTGGTGCATTCTTAGTTTAATGCGTTTTTAGACACAAGCCACCCTTCCCTAAATATAACCCCCTCTCTCACTCTTTGCCAGGGGTGGATATTATTCCATTCTCGTTCTCTCTCTTCTAGTGCCCGCTTTGACCTTGGTGAAGTCTCTCCGCACAGAATACCATTCAACCAATCAGAGGACAGAGATTCTGGTCTCAATGACCAATGAGAGAAGAGTATTCCGGCCAGAATCTTCTGTTTACAGACTCTATAAGGGGGGGGGGGAGTGCGCAGCGTACCGCGTTTTTACTCCCGAGTCTAGTTCAGTAGAGGTTAGGATGCCGGCTACAACACAGCCAGGCTATAATTCACTAAATAATGGGCAACAGACTGAACAAGTCATGCATTATAAGTAAGTAACATTCGTGGCAACCCTAAATAGTGATTAATACCTCAATAGTTAACAAAATTGTGTTGAACATATATGTTGTCATCTTTGTTTTCCTTGATTTATCCGATTATTTTGTGTGTGAAGACTTACTTGCACGTGGTGAAGATGGAGGGGGTGAAGCTGCCAGGGTTAGTGGAAGGGGGGGGGGGTTAGAAAGCTGCCTCACAGAAGGGGGTGGGGGTGACGCAGCTTTATGCATCCCCTTCCCCTTCTCAATCCCGCGTAATTCCTTACTTTACCTCCAAAGCATGGACTTATGTGGGTATGAATGTTAATTTCAAAATATAGACTTTTCTTTGTTTAAACAGTGTCTTTCATAGTCATAAATGTGCCCGTGTCATACTTAATTCATATTTAGATACATACACTGTTTATTTACAGTAAATAACTACATATTCTAATAATGTTTAAAATGTTAAAAATGTAAATATGGCAAGTTATGTGAATCTCCGTTCTAAAGTTTCTATCCTCAAAATTTATTTCTAATATTTTTGTTTCCCTAATCAATGCGTTTTTTAAATCACATATCTTTGATTGATTGATTGATTGATTGATTGGTTGGTTGATTGATTGATTGATTGATTTTATTAAAGTTGATTTTGAAGTATCACACCTTAGAATTATTGATACGAAAAAAGCGTCAAGTTTTCTTAAAAAACATGATACATATACAATTAATTAATTATTTTACCCCAAAAATTAAGACAATTTATACTGTGTTAATAACAAAGAGAGAGAGGGGTGGGGGGGGGGGGCTTGATTTATAGAAACACCATGGAGTTTCATGCACATGATTTCTATTTATTTTGGTTGCGAGAATAGGGCGTATACCATCCATAGAGATCAAGCTTTGATTTATTGTTCTCAGACTTTTCATGCCATAGACAGAATATTTCATACAATTTTATTCACAGACAAAATATTTCATATATTTTCATTCATATTCATTCTTATTTTTAACATTTTTTGTGTGTAATAATACTGGGGATTAAAATATTTAACCGATTTAAGTTAAATGCTAAATAAACAAGGTTAGTCAATCCAAATATTAAGTCGGATCTAATCGTTTCTAGTTAAAACCTTGCTGACATTTTTTTTAGTGCAATTTTAATAGTTAATTAAACCTTTCCTAGAGGGAAATAAGATTTAAGTTATCTTAATTCTGTCTTTATGATCCTAATGAATCCTTGAGAAGAAGACAAAATTGATAAGAAGCGTGTTAGCCTCAGAACGTGGGCGGATTTTTATCGTGGGGATGGTGGGGGGAGCCTGCTTGTTAAATATATATTTTTTTTTGGGGGGGGGGGATTACCATAAGAAGGCTTGGTTGGGAAAACTAAAGAAGTGCAAATGCTCAAGACTTACAAAGAGAATGAGAAAGGAGAGTTTAGATAAGTTCAAAGTTCATGATTTATGTGTTCTCTTGTGTTCTAAGAAATACTGTGAAAGTGTACACTTGTTTCTTTATACGACTGCTGGGGGCCCTATCGCAGTTCAAGACTATAAAAGCTGCAGTTCAAATGTATAAGAAGATCTTAATTTTGCGACATACTCAAACTAAGTTTTTGTCTACCCTAACAGCTCTCTAGTCGGCGTTATAGAATGAGGCCCTATGCCCCCCCTCCCTTCACTTCTTCGTAGCAGAACTCCTCTATTTGTTATTCTTAAGCTAAGTTTCTGTCCATTCTGACCTTTCTAAAGCTAAACGATGGGATAGGAAGGAGGGAGTAGGATTTGTATAAATATCATCCAGAATTATTGAACAAATAACGAGTTAAATGCTTCACTGTGGAGCTTTATTAAAAACACTCATATTGGGCCTAGGCACTGCGGCAAATAACATTATATTATTATTATTTTTATTGGAGCGTTATGTTTATTAGAATGAGCTTTAAATTGCGGTTCACAACGGTACCCTTATAACCTTAATCGGAGTTTTTTACGTTGCGAATTCTGACAATATTGTTTCATATTACGAAAGAGAGAACATGACTGAAAATTTATGTTTTAAGATTACTTTTGTGAATCGAATATGCCTGAAATTACGTTGACAATATCTTTAATACCTCAAAAGCTTGTAATAGGGTTGATTGTTTGGCGTACCTTTGGGCTATTCTAAGAATCGTAAGTGATAACTTGAACCCCTCGTCTCGTTGATATACAATGCATCGTAAAGTGTCTAGCTCAGTTCCTCCGTTTCTTTTGAATTATGGAACATTAACCCTGACATCCCTGGTTCCTTGGTTCTTTCTGTTCTCTCAAGGTATGGAACATTAACCCTGACATCCCTGGTTCCTTGGTTCTTTCTGTTCTCTCAAGGTATGGAACATTAACCCTGACATCCCTGGTTCCTTGGTTCCTTCTTTTCTCTCAAGGTATGGAACATTAACCCTGACATCCCTGGTTCCTTGGTTCTTTCTGTTCTCTCAATGTATGGAACATTCACCCTCACACTTGGGTTCCGAGACTCCTTCTTTTTTGATGTATGGTACATTAACCCTGCCAACTTGGGTTCCGAGATTCCCACCTTTCTCATAAATTATAGAACATTAACTCTGACATCTTGGGTTCTGAGATCCCTGCCTTTCACTTGAATTTTAGAACATTAACCCTGACATCTTGGGTTCCGAGATTCCTGCCTTTCTCTTAAATTTATGTAACATTAACCCTGACAACTTGGGTTCCGAGCCTAAGGGGAACATGGAACTAATAAATGATACTAGGATTGTTGTTAAATTCTAACTGTGGGGGGTGGGGGGAGAAGGGTGGCAAGATTCTTTCTTAACTTTAATTTATTCACAAAACTATCCAATATTAAAATTTACTCTGAAAGTTAACAAATTTTGTGCAAAGCGTTTTGGGTAAATTTGCCTTTTGAAGACTTAATTGTAGATATGTCTGGACTCGGGAATTAATCTCAAATATACTTGGCTTGTCTGGGTTTTAATAGTTCATCATCAACGTTAAAAGTATTTGTGCACATTTTACTGTTGTTTAATATTTAACATTTTTATGACTACTATCAAGATTATTTATGCTAGAACATAACAAGTGTATAGTTATTATTTCACACGGTCTTAATGAGACAAACTTACACATAAGGTTTCCAATCCACGGAGCAACAGTATAATTAAGGACTGTAAAAAAATCCGTGAATTGAACATATTTTCTGTCGTAATTGTTAAATAATTATTCCGTAATGCCTCTATGTCTACTGACCCGTGAGCTAAAAAATATTTTTAAAAATAAATGCAAAAATTCCACATGAAAAATGCGTTTTGTTGATTTCATTAATTTCTAATTTGCGTGAAATTTTTATTATCATTAAATTATTCATAGTTTGACAGCTAGTGCCAATCAATGTCTTGTATAAAGATATTATTCTTTGTTCATATTGTTATTATCAGTTTTTATCATGCAGTGTTAGATATGATGCTATTGGTTCCAATTTCTGGACCACTTAACCCACGTTGTTAAATTAATATTATTTCTATTGGAGTTTTAAATTTACTATTAATGAGATTTTAAGTGTCCCTCCATTTAAAGAGGCGAACAGGTATGTTCGAATCACAACGGTAATCTATAAACTCTCCGTCTGAGCAAAAATGATCAGGAATATATCCTTGTCCATTCTGAAAATATTAAATTCGAATTGTCAAATTGTTTAATGTGACATGCCGATTTTTAAAGAAGAAGTCTAAGAAGAAAGTTTTATTTTCCAGTTAGAAAAATAGGATATTTTCCTTTTTCCTCATCGTCGTTTGAGAAATGGTTGGAAGGGTACCATTGTGAATTAAATAAGTTTCTAAAAGAAACCGTTTGAATTTTATCATTTACTAAATTCTCACTTTTTCAGGTATCTAAAGGAGTTTAGAGTGGAGCAGTGCCCTCTGTTTCTCCAGCATAAGTGCCAACAGCATCGCCCCTTCACTTGCTTCAACTGGCATTTCCAAAATCAAAAACGTCGGCGGCCTGTGCGTCGTCGGGATGGAACATTTAATTACAGTGCTGATAACTATTGTGAAAAGTACGATGAAACGACTGGAATATGTCCTAATGGAGAAGAGTAAGTACTTAATTCTTTTTAAAAACCGCCCTTTCCCCGTCCCAAATGTTTTCTTCCCTTAATAAAACGTGTTCCTTTTCTGAAATCTAAAAATGCCCTATAAAGGGGTTTGAAATAGATTTGAGTCCATTCTGCCTAAATTGGCTGTCCAAGATCGGTCGCTTGTAATAAATCGCCCAGATTTTAGTAGAATTTTTATTCTAAGTTTCAAACTGTGCCCCCCCCCCCCTTCTCCTTGCCCCACATACGTTTGTGCGTTCACTGGGTACGCACATATACTCATTTTGAGTCAATCAAACAAAGCGCTCGCGCGCGTTCTGAATATTTTCTCAATCCTTTTCCTTCAATCCCCCTCAATTTATATCACCCTATTTGGAACTCTCCCCCCCCCCCAACACACTGTTCTGATAAATTAATCTGAAAGAGGGGGGGGGGGTTACTATGTGGACTGCTTGGGAATCTTTCTATTCAAATAAAGTGCAAATATATATTTCAAAAGGTTTTTTGAAGCCCCCCCCCCCCCTGTCAAAGGTTGGGACACTTCAGTTACATAAAGAGGGTGCGGACCCTTAGTATTGAAAAAAAAAACCGGATCAATCAAATCTGAGGGTTTTGTCCATGTTTTTCTAGCCAGGGAGGGGGCGGGAGAGGGGGTATTGTCGTATTAGAAACTTTTACAAAAACCTGGACACCATGTCATATTATGGTATTTTCTTTTAAAAATCCTAAATCATACAGTTGCACCCAATAATTATTGTTATTTTAATTCTAAAACTAAAACTGATAATTTTCTTAATTTCATTTCTTGATATATCTTGTGTTAATCGCAAATTAGGTGTTCACCTTTCGCGTTAGATATGATTGTGTGGGAACATATGTGTCTAATAATACTTGGTTTGATTTTATTTGAAAGTACATAATTTCTACCCCCCTCCCCCCCTCGTTAGCAACGTAATTTTCCTTCTACATGTTCGTATTTTGCAAACTGATGTTCCAATTTATTTTTCGAGACTGAGAGAAATTACTTCGTGCTTTTCTTCGTTCAAATGCAAATGTATTTTGTCTCTGTTAATAGTGTCACCATTTTGAAGTTCAATTGGATTAAAGTGAAAGTTTTTTTTTCAGTTAAAGTTTAAAGTTTACGACCTTTTTCAGTGTGCCCAACTCAAAATATGCCTTTGTCAAATCAATGTATTTTATGCTTATCACTCTAACTTTATTTTTGACAAGCGTGAATTTAAAATATTTTTAGAACTGTCTCGCATTATCACATCCAAGAATTGAAGCTTCCATGTCAATATATTTGCTAAAGCATTTTTTATAACATCCCCCCCCCCCACTCCATCGGCCTTGCCGACTAGGGTTTAATTAATTGCCCTTTTCAATACGTGGAAAGGGATGAATAATAGCCAAGATTTCATCATCTAGTTTAAATAGTTTTTACTACCGTATTCACCTTATCGTAAGACTAAAAAGAGTCTGTTTAATAATAACAATGTTTTCTCCAAGCCATTAGCCCACTTTTTGCCAATTAAATAATACTTCATATATTCAGTGTTGAGAAATACTCCTTTGGAGCTAATACACTTTAAACTAAAACATGACAAGACCGTTAATTAAATCCGCGAACTTATCAATAGTATTCCTATAAATTCTTTTTTGTTTAACAAAAGCGTTATTTTTTCTCATCGAAAGATTTGTACTTAACGTACGGTGTATATTTGAGTACGTGATAAAACAACTTTAACAACTTGTTGTTAAAATGGAACAATAAAAAATAATTTCAGCTTGGCTTATAGACGCACAGTAGACGTGTCGACTAGAAACAATAAAAATAAACAAGTTAAAAACGTGCTGAAGCTTTGAGTAGAACGACGTGAAAGAATCATTATACAAAAATGAATTGTTATACTTGGTTGTGGAACCAACCCCTTTATGGATTCATTTTTACAGATTTAATTGACGGGTTCGACCTTAGCATGCAAAATCTAATTTAGTCTTAGGATGGTATTGGAGAAAGGATTGAGGGGGGGGGGGGGGCATATCGGTTTTCTATATTTGGTTTTATAATTTTTCTGTGTCTCGAAGCGTTGATATATTTTTGATACGTAGCTCTTAAATCATTTATTCAAGCTCCTCTCCGTCGTACCTTTTAATCTGTTTATATCACATGACAATTTTAGAGGTTTTATCAGAACAATAGCATACTTTTCACTTGGTTTTATGGTTGCCAGACATGACTCATAAAAAATATACTTCTCTCTACATTTTTATTTTTCGCACAAATATATCCGTTTACATAATTAAAACATATTTATTCTCTAAAACTTAAATTAACTACCTTAAATTGTTAAATTTAATTTCAAAAAAAGATCAAAGCTTGTACAAGAATGACTTTTTTAAAACTTGATTCTTCCAAAACATTTGGTTATTAATTTGGATGTTGGATGATAAAGGATTAATCAGAATTCTATTCGATATCGATCTCTACCGATTTTACGTTTTTTGTTGTGTCAACATGTATATACGTTGTACGTATATACAATTCATTCCTTTTTCAGACTTTTTTATACATTCTCATGAAGATGTTTAATATTTTTCCTCTTAAATATTTCCTTTTCCTTTGTTCTCTTGTTTAATGATTCCTATATTATTTTATTTTTATTTGTATTTTTAACGTTTGTACTTTTATTTTGATATTTACAAATCGATTTATACTTTTCACAAGTGCGGAAACAAAATATTTAAATACTCGGTCCAGGACTTATATGCTTTTTTGTTTTAATTTTATTTAATTAAAAGAAAGGTATAAACGTTAGATGTATTAATTTTACCAGGAGGAGGGAGGAATCTGTCCAGGCTTAGCCCCCCTCCCCTGGAGTGGGGAGGTTTATAATATTTTTTTTCTTAATTAGTTCTAGAACAAGGACAAGAAACAAGATATTAATAAAGAACTGACAGTTACATCTTGTCGGTTGAATTATCTTCAAGAACCCGATATCCTCGTTATATATATTTCCACATTTTTTAGGGGAAAATATCCCCTCCCTTCAATCTTCCCACTACATACACGCCGGACGCCTCCCCCCCCCCACTCATCAAGCCGATTTCCTTTTTTTGGGGTGGGGGATTTTTTTAGTTCGAATAAATCGTTTTTTTCACCCCCCCCCCCCCCCTGTAAAATAATAAACACAATGATACTTGCATCAACCTCCTAATGTTTAATTTCTGATAGTTCCTTTCAAAATTGAGTACAAGAAGACAATTTATGAAACTATTGTGTACTCTATCATTCTTCCTCACTTCATCGTGAATTTCATAATAAACGTGCTATACAGTAATCATCGTGCTATAAAGTAAAATTAGCTGTACATTATAGCACGTGTGCTTTAAAGTTTTGATGGGTCCCAGATTTTCTCTATAAAATTTAGGATATTTTCAATGGAAATGAAAATATAATTGATATCAACTATATATTTTGACTTCTGCTTTGTTTTAAAGCTTATTTGATCCAGAAATAGCCATTGAAATAAGATAAGTACACAAACGTTTCAAAAAATTACATATAACACTATTATTTTGGCACGACATGCTATATCGCTAAAGCTCGGGACAAAAATAAATCTAAAAAAGCATCAACTTTCTCGATAAAAATAGAAAATACATGTATATTGTAAATATTGTATATTAAAGCAATATATCTATCTGAATTACTATCCGTAAATAACGACCATGCCTCCTAAATGGTTGGATCAAATAAATCGAAGTCGATAATAAAGAGAATAGCTTTGTCAGTGGGGAGGAAGGGGGGGGGGAGATGTAGGTTATCCTAAGTTCAAAAACTGATTGAAAAAATCTCGATTCTTTAATCTTGTAATAGGACACACATAGACAAGGCCTCGAACAGATAGATAGATGGATAGATTGTGAGATAACGATAATAGATTGATAGATAGATGGATAGAGAAGTCAGATATACAAGATAAGGAATGAGAACTGGAAATTATGTCTTTCAAATTTAAAAAAGAAAACGATTAAACAACTCAATATTTTCCTAAATTGAATGTTTTAAATTCATCGAAAAAACCCGTCGGCTTATCCTTTAATTTGCTTGTTTCTTGACCTTAGTGTTGGCTTGGATATATGCTGATATGTAGAGAGGGTCGGCCTTTGTGACTCTGATGTCAAAATTTGAAAATATTTCCCCAATTTCGCCGCGGGTCTTGTATTTAGGACCCTTAAATTCTTCTGTTAGGAAGACTCGTTTTCAAATACTTCAGTTAGGAATACTTAAACATCTAATTCTCCGGTTTCGGATTCTCCTTGAAGTTCAGGGAGGGATTCTCATTCCTAATCACTTTTAAAAGAACTACTCGAATCTTGAGTTTTGATATTTTTTATTTTTTTTTATTATGGGAGCCTTTTTAAATTTNACAGATACAGATACAGATACAGATACAGATACAGATACAGATACAGATACAGATACAGATACAGATACAGATACAGATACAGATACAGATACAGATACAGATACAGATACAGATACAGATACAGATACAGATACAGATACAGATACAGATACAGATACAGATACAGATACAGATACAGATACAGATACAGATACAGATACAGATACAGATACAGATACAGATACAGATACAGATACAGATACAGATACAGATACAGATACAGATACAGATACAGATACAGATACAGATACAGATACAGATACAGATACAGATACAGATACAGATACAGATACAGATACAGATACAGATACAGATACAGATACAGATACAGATACAGATACAGATACAGATACAGATACAGATACAGATACAGATACAGATACAGATACAGATACAGATACAGATACAGATACAGATACAGATACAGATACAGATACAGATACAGATACAGATACAGATACAGATACAGATACAGATACAGATACAGATACAGATACAGATACAGATACAGATACAGATACAGATACAGATACAGATACAGATACAGATACAGATACAGATACAGATACAGATACAGATACAGATACAGATACAGATACAGATACAGATACAGATACAGATACAGATACAGATACAGATACAGACCGTTGTGACATACCGCCTGTAAAGTATGGGACAGAAAAGTGATGGGTGGTCCCAGTTCATTCAGGAATTTGGAAATAATTAATATAATAAAATTTTTTTTCAATAGATGGATAGATAGATGGTTAAATAGATGGATAAAAGGATGGATAAATAGATGGATAGATGGATAGAATATAGATGGATAGATAGCACGACAGTTGAAAATCTAATAATGATAAATGTTACAGGCTGAAAAAGTTAAAATAAAAATAATTATTTTATGAAATTCAAGTCACTCTTGAGCTTTTGCCATTATGAATTCCCCCCCTCAATTTTGAAAATCAAATAGCGCCCCTTGTTTAAGGTCTAGCCAGGGTTGTTGCCAAGTGCATGAGGGTTTCAGGGGAAGAAAAAAACTTATGTTTTTTGATAATTTTTGTTTTTTTTTCTTTTACACATTTTGCGATCTTGTTAAAATTTTATTATTAAGGATTAATTATTTACCCCTGAAAACAGGTTATAGACTCACAAAGAGACTCAGACAGCGCGGAGGGAAATTCATTTCAGGGGCAACAAAGGCCCATCTCCCCCCCCCCGCTTACCATATCCGTTTAAAAAGGGGGTGGGGTGGAGGCTTATTTTTATTATTATTTAAAAGAAAATTAATGGAGGAAGACGTAAAATTCCCCTTCTAGGCTAATAAATGATCATCTACAAAATGATTTTCAGCTGAATTATTTGATCTGTATGAATTTTTTGTACAACGGACAATATATACATGTACGGTGTACATGAACATTTAGTAAATATCTCCGCTGTAAATCTCGGGGCGTGTACTTTTCTAGGACTACAGCCAATAAATCCTTTCAAGGAACCCTTAATTTTNCCCCCCTTATTTTGATTTCCTTAAATATGACCTCGTAATGGTAAACCACCCTCTCCTGTCAAATATTTGATCCTCCCTTTTTATTATTAATAAAAACATAAGAAACTACACAATTTTATCATAAAATTTTCTACATGTTTCAATTTTCAACCCCTTTACTCTTACTTTCTTAGTCATTCCCTTAGTTATTCAAAAGTTGTATTTATTTTCTTAATTTTCTTTCTCATTCATCCCCCCTCCCCCTTCTATTCCCTACTTCCTACATATGATTTATCTGAATACAGTTATAAGTATTCGCCTATGTGGATATCCATGCCCTTGCCTCTAGGCATATACACACTACCACCTTCCTATAAACACATTCATAAACAATGCTTTTGTAAAGTTTTTCATTTTATTTATTGACAGTCATGCAACTAAACAGCTTGACACAATGAAATTACTTGTCGCACAGTCGTAATAATAGGCGACATATTTCACTTTTCACCACACCAAATTAAAAATGAAATTTGGAATATTAATTTTTTATAAAAAATGTACAAGTACATTTAAAGATAATTTTCTTGAATTTTCTCTTGAACCGCTGGGATAGAAATTATAATCATGTTGACCGTGGTTCTAAGGAGATATAGAAACCAGTTTTCGGGGTCTGCCCAGCGTTCATACCATGGTCATACCGCATCCTTNCCACCATTTCCAACAGAATCGAAATTTTAAAATGATGTTCTCAAAAATTTTGGTTCCATTTGATCATGAAAGGATATTTTGCCATGTAAGGTCTAGGGAGTTATTGATAAATTATGATGATAAGATAAGCGTTATAATCTATATTAATATCTTCTAATTAATCTATCTAATTTAGTCTCTATATCTACTTATCAGACATATGGAACGTTTTTTAAACAAAGATATTTAGATACGGGTCTTGCTTTGTCGTCATGTTCATAGCCACGCCAACTCAATTATTCTCATAAACATTGCTAACATATCTAATTAATAGTCAACTTTTATTTATAGTTAAATTAACTTTTTTAATTTATATTAATCTTTTGTTTTATTTTAAAGCCCTCTAAAATTTTCTTTTAGGTTTGTTAATTAATCAGCGGTTACTTCTACTCATATTTTTAGCTAACTCAATTTTTAGATATAGCTAACTTTTACCTTAATCATACTCATTTATTTCTAACTCACTGAACTCATCTAAAGCTTGACTTTCATATTATTGTATTAGCCTCCTCCCCCACCCCCATCCCCCTTATGCTGTCACTATGAAGTTACGCCCCTGTACTGGAACCCTAATATTTACGATTTTGACAATTTCCAGAGATAAATTAGGACTCTAAACCCTACATCCAGGTCCTTCTTAGGTTTCAAGCCAGAGCCTAATACGTAAATAGTTTCTGGGTGGTAAGAGGGAGGGGAGGGGAGCTTGCGTGCGTTCTTCAGTGTTTTCGTTTTTATTTATCTGTTCCTTTCACAATATTCTTATATTCTAAAGCTAAACCTAAAGATTGAATTTTATTGAAAAATCTACCTTAATCCAGATTTGCCAGTTTAGGCATCAATTTCAGTTTATAGGCTAGTGCAAGACTTCATAGTTATTAGCTGAGAAATAATAGGTATTCCTGTCTTGATAATATTAGATCATCATGGACCAGGATTGGGTTCCTATTTGTATTATGTATATTGTGTGTTTCCTTCAACTGGCCTTGCCGGCTTGATTGATTTCATTTTCGCATCAATTCACATAAATGAAAATTTTAATTGTACCCTTGAAACAAGACAAATGGTGTTAAACAATGATATCTCTGTGAAATATCTTTTTCTTCAAGATAAAACTCCATTATTTAGGTTCCTGTGAGAAAAAAAAGAAGAGAAAAAGATTGTTAGATAAAATATTATGATAGATTAGAATAGAATGTGGTGGATAGGGTGGGAGAAGGGATCTTATTAAAAATAATAAAATATTTTAGAACTGTGGGGAAGGAAAGGATGAAAAGGGTGGGCTACGGAAAGGATTAATGGGTTGGCTAAGGAAAGGAGAATGGGCCGGGTGGGCTAAGATAGGATGAAAGGGGAAGTGACCGGGTGAGCTAAGTGAAAAGATGAAAGGGAAGGATCCGGGAGGGCCTGAGAAAGGGGTGGGTTTGTAACCAGGGAGGGATTGAGAGCGGAGTCTGGAGTCTACAGGAATATGGATCAATAAGTCTGGATCCTGGAGGTTAGGGTCACCAGACACAGCCTCTAAGCAGCCTCCCCCCCTCCTCCTGTCTGGGGGTAGGAGGGGAAGGGGGGGCTGGGGGATGTTAATGCAATTACGATCATAATATATTTTACCTTAAAAAGAGAGAGCCTAAATAATTCCCAAAATTGTGATAATTGGATTTCTTTTTGTTATGTCTGGTGGTTCGATGAAACCCTGTGTTGTTGCTAGGGGATGAATTAACCCCCTATGGGGAATATGTCTGGAATTCTGCGAGGGAGGGGAGGCGGTTATACATTGGTTTAACAAAAATCCATCTGTGGAAAATATTGTACACGTTCAACATTTTAAATTCATATTTATTTAAGCCTCATCATTTCAAACTGAGGAGAAAGAAAGAAAGATGATTGTTAAATTTGTTTTTTAACTATCATGGATTGTTTTTATTTTTGTTAAGTTTCTCGCTTTGGTAATTTAGCTGAACTAATTTAAATACTCAGGCAACGTGATTTTTTATTTATTTGTTAAGGTCTAGAATTTAACAAATCATTTTAGAACAACTTCAGTTTCAAGGGGTGTAAATTATATTTAAATGCGTACATGTTTTTTTGCCCCTCTCCCCCACTCATGAATGTCCAGCTCGGTTTAGAGCGGGTCGTAATATTTTGATGGTTGACTTGGTAGGCAAAAATATTTCCCTAGACTAAAAATGTTAGTGTAGCATAAAAATTGTGTACGTAGCATTGGGTTTCATTGGACATTTTGTTGAACATTTTATATTTTAATACTTTAATGATATTTGTAAAAAAATGTTTCATTGAATAATGTACACCCCCTTTGTATGAAGTAACTTTGAAGTAAAGATTTGTAGACAGTAGACGATATAAAATTTGTACAATGCACATGAACGCTTGATTGCTAGAGATACCTTTTACACACGTACTTCATACCCTGCTAAACCTAATACCTGTATTTTAAATTGTGGAAGGAAAAATAAATAAATCAAATTTGCATTGTTGTTAATTTTTCAGGGGTGTAAAGTATATTTTCTTAATAAATCAATCCCCCTCCCTCCCCTCCCCTCTCTTTTGAAACCTATTCCGCCAGAATTATTTAGAGGTTTATTCGCTAAATTGGGGAAATTAAGTGATTTATAGGGGAAAATAAATAAATGGGTTAAAAGTATGATAAAGGATAAAAAAAATTCCTTTTGATTCTCAATTCCCCCCTTGAAAACATACACCCCTGAATTTGGTTCCAAATTTTGTTTTATTATAATAATTATTTGTTTCAGTTGTACCCTGTTACACCGTACTGCTGGGGATACAGAACGCAGATATCATCTTAGATATTATAAAACGGGAATGTGCGTGCACGATACAGATAACAGGTTAGAATCGCGCTAGCGCGCGCTTGTTTGTTCAAAATATTATTTCCGACAATTGTAGTTCTTATGTGCTTCGAAATGACCTTAATTTTGTCCGTATCTAATGTATATTAGCCCGGCTTTATAATCAAACCAAACCAAATTAACTTTCAACCTCCATTAAGCAAAGCAGAGGCCTTGTATCTCATGCAGCTGAGAAATGTTTTTATTTTAGTTATCTTTAAAGTTCCCGCCAGATTTTAGAGCAAATATTGACAAAGGAATTGTGTGTAATTGACGTTTTTGTTGCCGAGCTTATTTAAAGACGCGCTAGTCAAACAAATCAATTTCAAAGACAGTTGGTTGGTGCAATTGTTGTAAAAGTCCACGTGTGATGCCAGTTTTTGGTAAATTTTGTAGAACGAGGTGTTTACTGTGTAATTTATATTTTATAGCTAAATAAAATGTCTGCTTCGTGATTGTATACTCAGAAGGTTTAGTCTTTTGTTTGTCTGACATCGTGCCCCTCCCTCCCCCCTGAGATAGGGAGAGCCTCCTCCCTTACCTCGTTCTAAGACTCTAGGAGCCACTCCCTGCCACCCCACTCCGCCCCTTTTCGCAAACGCTCTTGGATATATTTATTGTATTTCTCTGAAGGTTTCAAATTATTTTTGTGAATTGAAGGTGATTATTGTAATGTTTGTGGCTTAATCATCATTTACCTAATTAAACACGAAAACTGAACATAAACAAAGCTCATTCGTGTTACCTTTACATTTCCAATTCAACCTTTCC